GTCCAGAAGGCACAGCTCCAAGGGGGAAGGACCACTGAGGAGGGATTGCATGTGTTAATGAGCAGGAAAATGAGAAGACCTGAGGTCATCACATTTAAACACAAATTTCAGACAAAATTCCTGCCAGGGATTCCTCATAGCAGAGAAACACCAACCCCAAGGCTCTCCAAGGGTCACTTTGTCTTCTAATTAGCAACTGCTTTGGGCATTGCCCTTTTCACAGCAGAACTTACAGTGAAATAACTGGTTCTGTGCCCAAATGTCAGTGATAATCAGCAGAGCTTTCAGATCCCTGTGCCTCCCTTCCCCTGATGCATTTCTGCCTCTGTTTAACTCCTGGGATGTTTTTAACTTCACATTTGTTCTGGGTCAGGATGAGACTTTGATCCTAGATCAGACAATAGATATCAGCTAAACCCCAAACTAATATAGATCAACAACAGAACTGCTTGTTTTGCCCCAAGCTGGGGATCCTGTATCTGTGCACAGGATCCCTATGCACATCCTGACCCAAACCAAGCAGGGATGGACATGGGAATTCACAGCTCTGCTATTTATAAACCCAGAATTCCACCAGCACAACCATTCCCAAACTCCAGCTCACCCTGCCAGCCTGGGTGGTGTTAGCAGGTACACACTGGTCCCAATCCTGTTCCACCTTTGAGCCTCTGACCTTTTTGTCTCTCTCAGCCCTTTACTTGCAGGTCTATCAGATGTTTATTGACTGTCGAAGTTTCCTTCCTCACTGGGTTAGAAACAAAAGGTTTTACACTTTATACAACAATTTCTAGATCTGTTTCTGACCAGACTCAGTCTGATGTGGGTCAGTGGTTTGTGTTCTCAGCCCAACCTGCACTGCTTGAAGCTTCACCCCAGGCTGATGTGCTCCACACACTCCCCTGACCCCTCTGCACCTATTTTCATCCCTTTTTATATAACTTCCCTTCCACAGGTTGGCAGGAAGCAGCTCTCAGAGTCCAAAGCAGGAGCCCAAAGCACCAGCTCAAAGCAGGAGCTCAAGGACCATGGTGAGCAAAACTGGTGCTTGAGCATGGAAAAGGGCAAAGTCAGCTCAGCTGTGGCAAGTTTCTGAGTAAAGCTCAGTCACTCTGGTCGAATAACCACAGGAAGGAAGCAGATGGGATCCTCGTGCTGTACAGAGAATGAAGGTTTCCAGTTACCTGGTGCTACAGGAGTTGTTTGATTCAGAAAACAGAGGCAGAGCCAGTCAGCATTCCAGGTGGGATAGCTGCCTGCTCATGGGGAATCAGAGGGGCAGAGGAGGTAGCAGGATGAGGAGATGCAGCTCCACTCCTCCAAAACCAGGCTGGGAAACTGGAAGGATATGGAGAGGTGATGCAGAGCTCCTAGCCCAGGGCACAGGTAAGAACCAGGGGACATCCAGTGCTAGATTCCATGCAAGACATCTGTGCCATTTGTCACCAAATCAGGGATGTTTGTGTCATGACACAGATCTGCTGGGCAGGAGCACCCAAACATATCTCTGACTAAACATATGTATCATGTGCGAGAAGTTTTAGGACATGTGTTCTGGAAATCCCAGCAGAAGCCATCTGGGAAACCAGAGGCAGCATTTCCCATGGAGAACTGACATTTCCAGCAGAGGAACAACCACCAGGATACATTTCTGACCATGTTCTCAAGGAGAAGGGACCTTAAAGCTCACTGAGTACCAATCCCCTGCCATGAGCAGGGACAGCATCCTCTCTGCCAACCAAAATGGGACAATGCTCCCCTGCTCACTCCTTCTGTGTTCAACCTTCTGCTCCTCCTGCAGCCCCAGGAGCTGCTGCATGGGGTGTCTGCGTGTCCTGGTGCAGCACCTTTCCCCCATCACTTAGTGCTGATGTAGTTCCTGCCAATCTCAGTGTCAGTCTGGGTGTTACAGTAACAGCACAAAACTGTCATGTAGATCAAAGGTGGTGGTTTTCTGGTTTTGTTATCCCACAGAAGCAAATGGTTTCCTTGCTGGGTATCCTCCCCCTGAGAGTACAAGCCCTGCCTGATCAGCAGCCCTGATGTCTGGGAGCCTGAGTCACTCCACAACCTCTGCTGCTCCTGCACTGACCCAAGGCTGAGCTTCCCATGAGCCCAAACCAGGTGCTTCAAAGCTTTCTGTCTGCTGCACATGGTTAAGCCACTTCTTGGGTTATAAGAGAAAACAAAAGAAGTTTAAATAGTTAACCATAGAGGTAAAGAATCATAGATTTGGTCTAAATACAGAAAAGGCTCATCAGACCTTCAGTTGATGACCAGAGCATCACCATCAGGCCAGAAATTGGCCTGGCCAATCCAGCCCATTATAACACAGCCAACGCTAACATGAAACTCTCATTTCTGCCTCCCAACACACTCCATCCATCAGTGTCACTGGTGCTACTGCTGTTGAGAACACCAACAACCACTGCTTGACTTCCATTCTCCCTTTTAGAGGTCCACTCAGTGCTCACTCCACACCATCTCCATCTGTGGCCAAAGTCACACGTTGCTGACAACACAGTGCAGGGCAGTGAGCCCTGGGTGGGCTTTGCAGCCCAGGACTGGGGACAGAGACAACCCACCACAGCTGGCAAAGTCCTGCCCTGCCTCACCACACCACCAGGCAGGGGCTTTCATGGCAAAACCAGCTGAGCCACAGAGGGAGAACCCCTACCAGTGAGCACCACAGCACTGGTGATTGTCCCCATGGCACCAAGGTGCTGCAGTGCAGGCTGTCACTCACTAGTTTCCAGAATTTTCCTTTTTTTGTGCTGTGGTCACAGTTAACGTTTGTTATTTAATGTCAACTGGCTGCACCACTCACCCCCACGCAGCTCCTGCCTCTCTACGCCCTAGATTTTGGCAGCACGTGACTGAAATTGGGGCTTTGGTCATGAAAGAGGCCAGGTGGAACAGAGAAAATGGGGCTAGGAGCACACACTTTACCCCAGGGGAGCAGGGGAAGCAGCTCAGCCCTGACTTTGCAGGCTGACACTTTCTTATCTCAAGTAGCAGGAGCCTGACTAATCCAGCTCAGGATTGCTAAAGTCAGGGGAGTGATGCTGCAGCCACACTCTCAGTGCTTGGGGTTTCTGGGACAAGCTCATCTCCATCCCCCACAGGGCCAGAGCATCCCTTGGACCTACTGGGGTGCAGCTCAGGGCACCCCTTTGAGCCTGAGGAACCAGCACATCCCACCCCTCCTCATGGAGCTTCACTTTCAGTATCTCAGCACGTGAAATCGAAGTCTCAC